AACTAGGTCACGCAGTAATAGCAGCAATCGTCATTCATGGCAGTTTTGAAACCATTCCGACTATAACAACATCTCGATGACTCGCCGCAGACCGCCCAGAGGTGCAAACTCACCTTCACCTCTCAATACGTCACTTGTCGAATCATCGCGTCGTCGTGGGAGGACAAGGCTCTCGCCGACTTCTCGTCCATCACGGCCTTATCGGGGTACCTCCACGTCTGACGTAGCAGTAACAGATACATCCATGCACAGCAGTGACGTAGCCTCTACTCTGCCAGCAACGTCCATAAGAGGAGAAGCACAAGAATCGCCGTCGCCATCGCTTACTATAGAGTCGATGTCGACTCAGCCTCCGACGTCATCCTCAGCAAATCCGACTAGTTCGCCGCATACTCAATCTCCACGTAGCCTCAGCCCCACTACTACTGAGCTCCCACAATCAACAGCAAGCTCAGTACGCTCGCAGGTAGTATCCAAGCCACGCGACGGACGTACCAAGGTGTATTACCAGGGCTATGCCTTCACGCGCGCAAATGCAACTGTTGTCAAGATAACCTACCGTTGTAGCTCATACCGTAAAAATTGTCGGGCCCAGTTTGCTTACTATGCAGACTCAGCGTCGTTTGACTTCGGGAATATGGAGCCACATACCTGTCGAGCTATTCTCGGTCTTGTTGGATCCGAGACAGGATCCGGTGATCACTGCATCGACGTTTCAGAGGCTGTAATGGATGAAGTCGACAAACTGGCCGCCAAAACGACTATGACACAAAAGGAAATTTGGACAGGTATTGTACAAAAGTTTTACATGCTAGATGGACCCCCTGTTCGTGGAGTGTCAAAACAAGTCGTTGAAAATCGCGTTCAAAATGCACGTAGAACACGTGCCGGTGGTCCTACCAGCTTAATAGAGAAACCACCCCTGTCGAAGGTGAAAGGTAGCCATCGGGGTTTCTTTCAGTTCCAGTATTCATGGCATGATGCCATCAAGGCGCAGAAAGACCCTGTCGGTATCGACAGAATAATTGGGTGGGGTCATCCCGCGCTGTTAAGTTTGCTGTGCTTCGAGAATTTGTCGTGGTACATCGACGGCACTTTCCGCTGTGCTCCTAACCACTACAAGCAATGCGTCACGATTATGGTCTATGACCAATCGAGTAAGCTCTACGTTCCTGTCGTGCATGTGCTCACTACGTCCATGACAAAAAAATCGTACCTGAAACTGCTACAGTGCGTTCAAGATTCTGTTGGTAGTAAACTCGTTCCGAAGGACGTTGTATGCGACTTTGAGGGCGCTCATATCGGAGCAATGTGTGCGTTCTTCCCTGATATCCGCATCATTGGCTGTTTATTTCACTTTAAACAGGCCTGCAGCCGCAAGCTAAAGCGATATGGGATACCAAAGCTCGAGGCGAAGGTGGCTATGTCTCCAAGCGTGTTCGACATACTGACCGTCATTGACCCCAGCAAAATTGCAGTGCAAGGAATTGCGTGGGTAAAGGCTAAAATACGAAAAACTTGTGAGACCAAGCAGTTAGTCTACTCTCGACAAAAATGGAGAATTTTTTTGGCATATTTCCAGCGTACCTGGATGGATACATTTCCCCCAACGTTCTGGAACGTATACGGAATCAATCGGGATATTGTAAGTCGAACCAACAATCCATTAGAGCGGTTCCATCGTGAGCTTAACAAGAGATTCAGGCCTCATCCGTCAATGAAGCAATTTGCCACTACTCTGGAGATTCTAGCTCGTGAGTACGTTCTGCAACGTAATGCAATCATATCAGGAATTGCTGTTCCACCAGTACGAGCTCGATTTGTGTTGCCAAGAGCCCCCAGATTACCCAGTGTGGCTGCCATTGAAGACTCCGCTTCGAGCAGCGATAGTGAAGGTCAAGTAGACGACGTCGATGTGAATTCGGATCCTTACAGCACTGACGTGTCTTCTACAAGCGAAGAAAATGCTGTCTTGGAAGAGGCGGATGCGGACTATGAGCAAGATAACTCGTTCGAGTACGAGGGTGTAGTCTAATGGGTACGCAGTATGGTAAATAGAACACAAGAAAAATACTTACATGAAAAGGCACTGACTTGAATATCACTGATAACACTACATACATGTACCGGAGCTTAAGAATCCTCATGCGCATTTCGTCATTTACGGCCCCCAGCAACAGTTATTTGAAGTTGTTGAGCTCAGCTGGGAGATACATGAGCGCATATGTATCTATATACAAAAAGAATCGCTGTAGAATCCGTCTGTCACCGTCATTTGAACACCAGGCCGACAGCACGCTGTTGGAGCATTTCCTCAGTGTATTCCTGGTTGCCTCAAAGATGACTACAATGATCAGCACCAGTAGTTTAGGTCCACAAGTAGTGCCACGGTTAACCTGAGCGATTTTATATATAAATGGTGCAGTTAGGACAAAGTTTCAAGAGAGAGAAAGGAGAAACACAGACCTGTAGAACGTAATGTGTGGCGGATGCTGACTCGCTCCATCGTCGCCACTACTGACAGCTAGTTCACGCTTCTCTCCAACGTCAGCGTGTCCCTCCTGCGTTGCTGTTTGCGAGGACGGCAAGTCTTTTGAACGTGACCAACTAACTTTTGGTCACGTGACCAATCGTTTTTTTTACGTGTGACCAAGTGTCAAATTTGACCAGTAAAATTGGTTACCGGAGGCGACGGGTGTGGTGTTTCCGAATGGAATAGTGATAACCCCTGACGGGAGGACTCTAATTGTAGGGGAGACGTTCGAAGGACGATTGACGGCGTACGACATTGGAGAGGATGGCACACTCTCGAACGGTAGGCTGTGGGCTGACGTTGGCTCCCTAGTGGACGGTATCTGCTTGGACGCAGAGAGCTGCGTGTGGGCTAGCATCGTGCAGTCTGGGCTGTATCAGACTGGTGGTGGTCTCGTCCGCGTCAAGGAAGGAGGTGAAATACTGGACGTGATCGGCTTCGGTGCCAACGGCATCAAGAACTCGGTGTTTGCTTGTCAGTTGGGCACGGACTCCGATGGCAAAAATCAGCTCTTCTTCATGGAGGCGGCCACGTCGTACGACCACCTCATATGGAAGGACGGCCCCGAGGCGGCCCGAAAAAACGGTCTGTTGCGTGTTATCGAGGTGAAGGTCGGCCCAGCGGTTGTTCCAGGCAACGATGGCTACTGCGGCGGATACTGCTGACTCACAACAATAACTGCTGAGTTATAGTTGTGATTTTGCATACCCTCGTCTAATACTGAATGACTACTGTATCTACTTAACTTACCACACGTTTAAAAACCAAA